CCTCTTGGATTTCAATGCCTTTTTCCTTCCCCAGATCAGGGAAGTTCTCAGCTATTATTTCTTCAAGTACCCCTTCAGCACCTTTCCCTCTCTCTTCCTCCTTGGAATACCAATTATGCGTAGATTATTTCTCTTTAGTGCATCACTTAGTTCTCTAATTTTCCCCTCATACTCCTGGATTTTTTTTATCTCTCTTTTCTCAGCTTCTTCTTTTTCCATAATTTTATCTTCCAGTTCACCTATTCTCTCCTCTGCCTCTTCAATCTGAGCCATTGTCGTCTCCATTTTATTTTGCAGCTCATTAATAGCATTTTTTAGCTCCTCCTGGCTGTTCCTTAGTCCCTTGATCTCTGTAGCAATAGATTCTCTGCTGTCCTTTATACTGTTTTCAAGCCCAGCGATTAGTTTTATGACTACTATTCTAAATTCACTTTCTGTTATAGTGTTTAAATCGTTTTTGATCGGTTTGTTAGCTGTCGTTATTTCCTGGAGTTTCTTTTGAGGGGAATTCTTCCGTTTCGTCATTTTGGAAAGTCCCTGGAGTGGCTGGGAACTGTGGGGCACTTCCCCTGCACTGTCTTGAATAACTTGCGTTGGTGGGCGTGGCCACAGTCAGACCTGATGTCTGCCTACCGCTCGGGCCACAGTCAGACTGGTGTGTGCCTTCTCTTACCCTCTCCCAGGGGGGGATTCACTGTAGGGTGGCGTGGCCCGTCTGGGCTACTTGCACATTACCAGACTTGTAGCGCTGGGGATCTGGCATATTAGCTTGGGTGGATAGGCAAGGTGCACAGGGGCTGGAGGGGTAGGCTCAGCTCGCTTTTCCTTCGGAGGTCCGCTTCAGGAGGGGCCCTGCGGCACCCGGAGGGAGTCAGACCCGGAGGAATGGATCCGCAGAAGCATAGCGTTGGGTGTTTGCGCGGTGCAAGCAAGTTCCCTGGCAGGAACTGGTCCCCTTTGGGATTTTGGGTGGGGGATGGGGGAGGGAGATGGCACTGGTGAGCACCTTTGTTCCCTGCCAAGCTGTACTCTGTCATCCGGGGCCCAACGACTCTCCCTCCCATTGTCCTCCACCTCTCCCGCTGTCTGAGCAGATCTGTTAACTTACAGCCTGCCAGATGTTAAGTCCCGCTCGCTGTCCAAACACACTCCGCTGCTTTTGCAAGCCAGAGTCAGGGGCTCTGCTTTGCCGGCGGGCTGCCCGTCCACCCTACCTCCCTCCCGCTAGTCGTGTAGCGCGCACCGCCTCTCCGCCCTTCCTACCCTCTTCCATGGACCTGTCGTCTACGCTTGACTCCGGAGAATCCGTTCTGCTAGTCTTCTGGCGATTTTCTGGGTTATTTAGGCAGGTGTGGGTGGAATCTAAGTTAACCGCAGGTCGCGGTGAGCCCACCGTCCTCCTACGCCACCATCCTAGTGACTTTATTTTTAAACTTAAATTAGGCTAAGGAGTTCAGATTTTGTTATATTTTATTGTTTACTACAGCCCATACTCTTTACAGTGAAGTCACATACCTTTGTATTCCTCTGCAGTTTTCCCTTTTATAATGTCGCTTGAAAGAACTATGTGTCAGTGTATATAAATGATGATCTTGTGGGGAGCAATGGGCTTTATTTCACATACAATACTTAGACTTCAGTGTAGTATATAGTAATACTTAAGGTTCTTGACTGGTATTTTGATAGCATAAATACTCAGTGGTATGCTATGCAAAGACATATGCTACTCTATTCATAATTTCATAATTGATAGGTCCTAGATGAATATTTATTTAAACCCTATAGGTAGTATAGAAATCTTTGTCTAATGGTAGACTGCTTTGATGCAGAAAGTAAAATAAAATTAGAGCTTTTCAGATCTTTCTATATATTATTACTGATTTTCAGTACTTGCTACTGACAAAGGAAATTTTACTCTACATTTAGAAATTAAGAATGATTTCTCACTTCCAAAGTGTCAATAAATTCGTTGAAAGTATATATACAAGTATGTGGGCATGTCTGTGTGTGTATTTTCATTCCTAGACAGTAAAATTAGGAAAATAAATTTGTCACTCGGTTAAAGAACTAATTTATTTTATTTTTAAATCTTATTACTTTTAGTCTGTTATGAAGCTTCCTGTTAATTTAGAAAATGGTAATAGAAAGTATATGCTTCAGAATACTTTCTTATGAGACATTTTGGACATTTTTCAAAAACCATCTTATCAATTCTTGAAAATACTAAGAGTAAATCCACACTGATAAAGACCATTAAAATCCCAAAAATATTTTTGTGCAACCTGAAAGTTCATCCTTGGAATTAGCATGCAAGTATTGTGTTTGGGTTAGTCAGAGTCTTGAGTATTTCCTTTGATGAAATGAAGACATTCTGTGTAATAATCCTTGGTGAAAGGGACATCTATAGCATTTGTAATAGATGATATTATTTAATAGAGTATTTGTGGTAATAATTATAATTATCAACATTTTTATTTTAATCAATGGAGTAGACCAAAGTATAAAATATTTTTTACCATTCAGTTTAGTGGTAACCATTCTAATTATCTTTTATTTCCTCTTTATCTGTCCCCGGCATGGCACCCCTTTCCTCTTCTACCCATAGCTCTATGCCATCCCTTGGTTTCTCACCATGTTTACCCGTAAGTATAATTTTTCCTTTCCTTTTAATATTGTATTGACAAAAGGATAGCTCCTTTCTACCCCAGTATATTATAGCTATAGTCATATTAAATAGATTTAATTACATAAACATCCTTATATAATTCTAATGTAATAGAGTTGGGTAGAAAAAATTAAATTGTTTTCACTGCTGAATATCAAAAAGTGTAATATAGGATGAGTGTTATATAGTGATGTTTAGGATGCCTACCTTATGTGCCATGACATTCATAAAATCTCTGCCTTTTGTTGAAAAAGAAATTAACATAATATTTACATAAAGATTTGGAAGACAACTTTTACAACAAATGAGATTCAATTTTTAGAGATCCTCTAACACTTTTGTTATTTCCAAACCTAGAATTCCTCTAGAAATCAAAAAGTATGTGTATGTGATACTTTAATCAGTTACAGGTATGAATACAGTGGACATTCTGCTTAAATATGTACTATGATAAATGGAATAACCATATTTAAAGTAGATTATGCATTGGCCTGGAAAAATATGCACAGTATCATTAAATGTAAAAAAGAAAGTTGCAAAAAATAGAAAAAAAAATTTTACGTGAACTTAATAAAGCTATTATTTTTTTTTTCAACGTTTATTTATTATTTTTGGGACAGAGAGAGACAGAGCTTGAATGGGGGAGGGGCAGAGAGAGAGGGAGACACAGAATCGGAAACAGGCTCCAGGCTCTGAGCCATCAGCCCAGAGCCTGACGCGGGGCTCAAACTCACGGACCGCGAGATCGTGACCTGGAAGTCGGACGCTTAACCGACTGCGCCACCCAGGCGCCCCTATAAAGCTATTATTTAGAGTGAATAATAGAAATGTAACAATACTGAATCTAAAACAATACGAAATTTCATGTAAGTAAATAAGCTTGTGAGAATCGTATAACAAGAAAATTCTATGAAGAAATATAATTAATGGAACAACTATACCAGGATTGATAAAGGTTAGAAAATGTCATCTATTTGACCAATCTGATTATTAATATTTAAAAATGCCTTAGGAAGCAATAAATATTATATACAATTTCATAAGTGTTTTGTGAAACCAAACCAAAAATAGTTTTTATAAACATTTTATAAAACTAAATAAGCATTTTATAAAAACACTTTGGTAGTATTTGTTCTTAGTGGGTTTTTTTTAAATGTTTTTTTAATGTTTATTTATTTTTGAGAGAGACAGAGAATGCGAGTGGGTTAGGGGCAGAGAGAGAGGGAAACACAGAATCCGAAGCAGGCTTCAGACTCTGAGCTGTCAACACAGAGCCCGACTCAGGCCTCGAACTCACGAGCTGTGAGATCATGACCTGAGCCAAAGTTGGATGCTCAACCGACTGAGCCACCAACGTGCCCCAATATTTGTTCTTAGTTTTGACCATAAACCATTTGTAACATGTCTAGTAAAACAGCTTGTTATTGTTTTAATTTCTGTAATTTTGTCTTTTTATTTTATTTAATTGTATTCATATTTTGTTGTTTTACAGATGTATTTCCACTGCACAAAATTTTCCACCTCTGGGATACCTTACTCCTTGGGAACTCCTCTTTCCCATTCTGTATTGGAGTAGCAATCCTCCAGCAGCTTCGGGACCGGCTTTTGGCTAATGGCTTTAATGAGTGCATTCTTCTCTTCTCTGATTTACCAGGTATAAATATAAATAAATGGAATCCCTAAATGAAATTTAATTCTAAAATAATGAGAAGTCTTATAGCATTTTTCAAAAATAATCATCCAAACTTTCAGAATCTCTTCTTGAGCTTCAACTTCCTTCTCTGGATTCTCTCTCTCATGTAACCACATCTGCTCTTCCAGCACAGGTCCAAACCTGGGTCATATTAGATTGTTGTGGTTTAATTTTATGTCAGTGATGCCACCAAAAGGGTAAAAGAGCTGGGGGCAGTGACATATTTGCCTTTAATCTTAGGACACGCCTTTTAATCTTCAGCTGATAGAGAGTAAGTAAAGGCTACTTGTTTGAGAATCTGTGTTTACACAGAGATGTAATTCACATGGAACTTTGCTCTCCTATCTATAGCTCCTTAGTAACAATTTGACAGTTTGAGGAAAGGAAACACTGCCCCTTTGGAGGGCAAATCACAAGCTATATATTATATTCACAAGTGAGGAGTTTGTAAATCTAGGTGTTAAATTTGTTAAGTGTGGATGTAGGGAATATGACTATGGTCTAAACTTTGCTGCTGTGGCTGAAAAGATCAAAGTAATCTGGTCACCTAGGATATAGCAATCTGTGGAATTAAAAAATGAAACTGTATTTTTGCAGAAACCAAAATTTTTTCAGGTAGAAGAATTCTACTTTCTTCAAGCAGCATTTCATTGGCTCCAACCCTTTTCTGAGTTTATTGTTGTTCTCCATATTTTTAGGCACAAGTAACTGCTGATAAGAAACACATTTAGTTATCTAAGAGTTAAATTTGCTTAAAAAACAAATGAAGAACAAAAGAAAGGTACCTTAAGATTACATATTTATTAAGCACACTCAAGAGGAAAAAGAAACTGCTACCTACCCTGATTTTTATCTTTAGCTGATGATCTATATCTGGTACTTCACCATCTCTCTGTTGTTGCAAGTCTTCATCCTTTTGGGAAAATAATAACAATTTAAAATTTAATTTTTTTTTAAATTTTTCCTTCCTTCTTTCCCCCAAATTGAAAGTACCACCATCATCTTTCTAACTTATCTAAGTTTAATTAAATTATTTTGTATATGAGGAAATAGTAGTTCACTTCTTATATTATTTGTTTCTGGGCGATAGATTCCTTTTGAAAATCGCACTATTTTTTTAATCTTTTGATGTTAAATGGTAACAAAGAAGCTAGTTTCACAAACTAGGAATACTGTCTGTACCTTGCATACATTTTGCTCTCATTTCCAACTTGCCAAAGTAAACAGAAGATGATTGATTATGATTAAAAGAATTTTTTCTGGTCAGTTCTAAAAAAGAAAAAAAAAATCACAAATGCTGATTGTGCATTTTGAAATCAAGCAAATTTAATGCCTTTCCAATTTCATACATAAATGTACCAGTTAAACACTTATGGAAGAATCTGTTGTCATATTGTATAGGCATGTTAATATTAACTCTGGTTGTCCATGAAAATAAAATTATTATTTCTGAAATCAGAAAATAAGAATATGCTTGTTATAACTGACTTATTAAAAAGGTAAACTCTACCGGGGCACCTGGGTGGCTCAGATCATGACCTCACGGTCCGTGAGGTCTAGCCCCATGTCAGGCTCTGTGCTTACAGCTCAGATCCTGGAGCCTGCTTCGGATTCTGTGTCTCCCTCTCTCTCTGCCCCTCCTGACTGACTCTCTCTCTCTCTCTCTCTCTCTCTCTCTCTCTCTCTCAGAAGTAAACATTAAAAAAATTGTTAAACTCTACCTACCTCTTAAAATAGGATGCATTCTATTGTTGTGAATTGCCTTGATCCTCAGTAGCATTATTCTAGTTCATCACTTGTTTGGCCACTGTCTATAATTCCTGTTGGGGAAGAAAGAGGTTCTAATAAAAATATGACTTAAAAAAAAAAAAAAAAACAGAAAGGGTCCAGATGTAGGCTTTGTTCTAAAGTACACCTGTGTTTTACTTTTAATTGAAGGACACTTATTTGGGATGTCTTTCCTAAATCTAAAGAGATCTCTTTTTTCACCATGTTGAGCTTCATAACTGTAGTTGATGCTTGAAGGAACTGGAAATAATCATGGGAAGTCTTAAAATATGAATCCAGATTAATATACACACAAACACACAGAATGTGCCTTTTCTAAGCAAAGTATTATGTGTCATAAGTTTGGAACATATTTGAAAGAAGCTTTTTAAGACTACAGAAAAAAGACAAGATAACTCTATTTCACTTTAATTCTTGAGACAGACTTTGTAGATAAAGACAGGATAGGATTAAACATTGATTTGAACTTACTAAATACATTATACTTTACTGAAATCCCTATCAACTGAGTTTAAAAGCATAAGCAAACAGCAAATTTAACTAAATTCTTTGCTGAAGCAGATTGCTAAATTCACCGTTCAGAAAGTCTATGTGATAGTAATATGATGGAAATACTACTCAGTTGGTATCCTTGTGAACAAAATAAGCTTGAATTTTTTTAAGTTGTCCTTTCTAGTTTTTTTTTTCTTTCAACAAAGAGACACCCAGTAGTCTAGTTGTTAAGAGCATGGCATGTGGAACTGGTCACCTAAGTTTCAGATCCTGGCTCTGCAGTCATAGCTGTGTGATCTTAGGGTCATGACTTAACCTTCTTGTTTCCTTACCTCTGATTATATGAGAATGATAATAGTACCTACCTCATAGGGTTGTTGTGTTAAATAAACCAGTATATCTAAACAACTTAGAGCAGTGACTGGCATAGAGAAAATGCAATGTAAGTGATTATTATTATTATTAGTTTTGCCATTATCATTATTCTGCTTGTTTTCACTTTCCATTCTACCATGACATGCTTTCCTATTGATGGTATAAATGTAGCAATCACCCCATTTGGCTTTTTCTATAATTTTGTTTAATATGAAATTTATTGTCAAATTGGTTTCCATACAACACCCAGTGCTCATCCCAACAGGTGCCCTCCTCAATGCCCATCACCCACTTTCCCCTCCCTCCCACCCCCCATCAACCCTCAGTTTATTCTCAGTTTTTAAGAGTCTCTTATGGTTTGGCTCCCTCCCCCTCTAACTTTTTTTTCCCTTCCCCCCTTCCATGGTTCTTGTACCCCAACGTTTATAGCAGCATTTTCAACAATAGCCAAATAATGGAAAGAGCCTAAATGTCCATAAACTGATGAATGGATAAAGAAACTGTGGTTTATATATACAATGCAATACTACTTGGCAATGAGAAAGAATGAAATATGGCCTTTTGTAGCAACATGGATGGAACTGGAGAGTGTTATGCTAAGTGAAATAAGTCATACAGAGAAAGACAGATACCATAAATTTAAAAAAAAAAAATTTAACATTTATTCACTTTTGAGAGAGAGAGAGAGACAGAGTACAAGCAGAGGGAGAGAAAGACACAAAAGCCGAAGCAGGCTCCAGGCTCTGAGCTGTCAGCACAAAGCCCAACACAGGGCTCAAACCAGTGAACCGTGAGATCATGACCTGAGCTGAAGTCAGATGCTTAACTGACTGAGCCACCCAGGCATCCCTTTATAAATTATTAAAGTAGATATCAGTCATATTGATTTCCTTGTTAGCTAAAACAATTGAGGAATTATCTAAGAAGTCAAGTAGACCTTCTATGTTGAGTGTATATTATGACTAAGAAGAATATTTCTTTTCATTGCTCAGAGACAGTGTAATGTAGTAGATAGCACAGACTTTGCAGTCAATACAGATAAGGATTTAAGTCCTAGCTCTACCACTCACAACCTGTGTGAACAGGGAAACTTTCAGTGTAGTTCTGCTGCTAAAAAAGCTGTCTATGGATGAGATAGATGTGAGTTCATATCCCACTTCTGGCACATAGTAGCTGTGTGAATTTGGAAAAATTTTTAATCTCACTGAGAATTCTGTACATTAGGAAAGTTTCAGTAAAATGGGGATAATATCTGCTTTAGTATTATGATGAGCACTAAAGATAACATACATAATGCAGCTGCCACAAAATATGGTACTGATTATGCATACACAGTATGTATGACTTTTTTTTAAAGTACATGTAGTATATAATATTTTATTTTATGTTTATTTTTATTTTATTTTAATCTTAGAGCAGGAGAGGGGGGCAGAGAGAGAGAATCTCAAGCAGTCTCCAGGCTCCAGGCTCAGTGAGGAGCCTGATGAGGGGCTCGATCCCATGACCCTGGGTTCATGATCTGAGCCAAAATCAAGAGTCAGACACTCAACCAACTGAGCCTCCCAGGCACCCAGCTTTTAATATTTTAAAAATACATAAATAACTTGTAACATTCAATCTTTATAAGTTCCCTCTCCTTTCTACCTCCTTTCCTTCACTTTATACTATTTATTTTTTTTATTTATATATGAAATTTATTGTCAAATTGGTTTCCATACAACACCCAGTGCTCATCCCAAAAGGTGCCCTCCTCAATACCCATCACCCACCCTCTCCTCCCTCCCACCCCCCATCAACCCTTAGTTTGTTCTCAGTTCTCAACAGTCTCTTAATGCTTTGGCTCTCTCCCACTCTAACCTCTTTTTTTTTTTTTTTCCTTCCCCTCCGACACTTTATACTATTTAATTCTTGAAGAAAGAACACAGAGGAAAAGCATTATTATTTTTGCAAAAATTGTTCCCAAATTCTATTCCCTTGTAATATTTTTAAAATTTTTTTAAAGGAGTGTGTGTTTTTTTCTTAACTTTATTTTATTTGAGAGAGAGCGAGAGAACGAGAGAGAGACAGAGACAGAATCCCAAGCAGGCTCTGCACTGTCAGCACAGAGCCCCATACAGGGCTCACATCTACAAACTGTGAGATTATGACCTGAGCCGAAATCAAAAGTCAGACATTTAACTGACTGAGCCACCCAAGGGCCCTGATAAATTGTTATTAACTAAGGTCAGTAGTTTACATTAAGGTTCACCCTTTGTCTTGAAAAGTACTGTGGGTTTTGACAAGTGAGTAATGTCATATATTTACCA